GCAGTGCTAGTAGAGGTGGCAGAAGCTGAGAAAAGCATTCATAACACAAGCCTGTCCTTCACTAACTACAAGACCAAGATGACTGCCCTCTGACGTCCTGGTGGATCTCTCGCATCTTCCAGAAGGGCAATGGAGAAGATTATCCATGACTTCTACTCAGATCTCTTCGATAGCCTTGTCCATCTGCCCACATACCAAATACTGCAGGATGGATAGGTCGTTCCCAACATCCTCACTTCTGAAATCCGACGTGCCATTTCATCAGTAAAGAAACGAACAGCACCTGGCCCAGGGAAGGTCAGACCTGAACACCTGAAGAACCTGCCGTCAGTACTCATCAATACACTAGCTCAGCTCTTCACACGCTACCTGTCTGAATGCAAGGTTCCGTCCCAATAAAAAAAATAGCAGGACTGTACTACTGTACAAGAAGAGAGACATCCACGACATTGGCAACTATCGCCCGATCTGCCTATTGTCTGTCATCTACAAGCTGTTCACTCGAGTCATCCTGAATAGGATTGGCAGAACACTAGATGAAGGACAACCATGCGAGCAAGCCAGGTTCCACAAAGGATTCAGCATAATCAACCATATCCACACGATAACCAAGCTCATTGAGGTTTCTTGGGAGTTCAAAGATGCCACTCTGTCTAACATTCATTGATTTAAAGAAGGCCTTTGATTCTGTTGAGACGGAAGCGGTCATTGAAGTCCTAGCCAATCAGGGCATTCATACTCAATACTTCAGGATCCTCCGTGAGCTGTATTATGGATTCACTACCAGGACCTCACCATTCTACAAAGAAGTGATCACCGATGTCAAGAGAGGGGTTCAGCAGGGTGATACCATTTCACCGAAACTCTTCAGTGCCACCCTCGAGAACATCATGCGACGACTGGAATGGGAAAGAATGGGAGTGAAGATAGATGGTCGGCAACTATACCACCTGCACTTTGCTGACGACATTGTTCTAATAACACCAAACATTAGCCAAGCAGCACAAATGCTGGCCAACTTCGACAATGAGTGAGGAAAGGTCAGACTCCATCTGAATCTCACGAAGACAATGTTTATGAGAAACAGTCTCGTTCCTGACATTCCATTCGCTGTCAATGAAATGACCATCTCCGAATGCAACAGTTAAGTGTACCTAGGTCGAGAAGTCAACATGACGAATGACCTGGCACCTGAGTTGCGCAGGAGGAAGAGAGCGGCTTGAAACACCTTCAAGATTGTTAAAGAAATTGCTAAGTGGACAAAGAACCTCCAGCTCCAGGCACATCTCTTCGATTCCACTGTTCTTCCTGCATTAACATACGCCTCAGAGACCTGGGCCCTACAAAAGCAGGATGAGAATGCTATTTGGGTCTCCCAAAGAGAGATTGAAAGAGCTATGGTTGGAGTATCATGTTTCACTCAAATCCGGAGTTCTGATCTCCATCAATGGTCAAGAATCAGGGACACTGTCTCATTTGCCAAGGCGTTGAAAATCAGATGGGCTGGACACGTAATGAGATTTGAAGATGACCGCTGGTCTAGAGACGTTACTGATTGGATTCCATGGGATGTCAAAAGACCGTGTGGCCACCCACCTACAAGATGGTCAGACTTCTTCATCAAGACCCTGAACGATTGGTTTGAGGCTCTTCGTGTTCCTAGAACATACGCCATTGGGCTACACTAGCACGCAACAGGGACGAATGGCGCCCGCTCGAGGAAATTGAAGATTAACAGGAAGTCAAGTGATCAAGTGATTAATGTATTTCATATTCAGTAAATGTTCTCACTTGAGAAAATCAGCTTTATATAAATGTGTATTAATCGAGACTGGAGAAATAATACAGCAGGTAAGACACTTGCCTAGCATACAGTGGACCTGAATTTGTTCCTCAACATCCCATAATGTCTCTTAAATCCTGACAGGAGCCATACCTGCGTGCAGAACCAGGAGTAAGTTCTGAACAAAGTCATGGTGGCCCCCAAACAAAACCATGTGTGTTAAATCATTTATACATATAAATTTAATATTTTCTTCCCACTAGCTTCTATCAGTTGTTACCAAAGAAAATCAAATTTCAAGTTTAAGAAGTAGGAGAAAATTTAAAAATAAGGAAACGGGTGGAATTAGCACTGTAGCACTGTCCTCCCATTTTTCATCGATTTGCTCCAGTGGGAACCAGTAACATCTCCATTGTGAGATTTCTTGTTATTGTTTTTGGCATATTGAATATGTCACGGGGAGCTTGCCAGGCTCTGCCCTGTGGGCGGGATACTCTCGGTAGCTTGCCAGGCTCTCCAAGAGGGATGGAGGAATCCAACCTGGGTCTACCATGTGCAAGGCAAATGCCCCACCTGCTGTGCTATCACTCTAGTCCAAGGAAACAGGTAGAATTAGGCTGGGTAAGTCTCAGAAAGGGATTCTGGTCTTCAGAAAATTCTGCCTGCTACCTACACCTGAAGACTAAAGATGAAAAGGGATTCAGAAAATGTCACCTTTATCAATCCATCTATCTACCCCTCCCCCACTGTCACTGTTGTTGCAATGACCAGAGACCACATACTTGGCCTTTAGTGGGTCTCAGAGGTCACACATCTACTTGTGGTGCATTGATGCATTGGTATTCACTGAGTCAAACACTTGACTGATGCTGTACTTGTACCCACTTGGTTGCAGTGCATCTAAGATCAGATGCTTTGTTGTGGTGCCAGGGATCCCAAATATCAGTGCTAGTGGGATCATGTTCCATGCATGCAGGGTATATAAAGTAAGTAAGTAAAGGCCCTCCCGTTGATCATCGATTTGCTCGAGCGGGCCCAGTACCGTCTCCATTGGAGACTTTGTTGTTACTGTGTTTGGCATATCAAATACATCACAGGGAGCTTGCCAGGCTCTGCTGTGCGGGCGAGATACTCTCGGTAGCTTGCCGGGCTCTCCGAGAGGGGCGGAGGAATCGAACTCGGGTCGGCCATGTTGGCTGTGTGCAAGGCAAATGCCCTACCGCTGTGCTATCGCTCCAGCCCTACAATGCTGGAGCGATAGCACAGCGGTAGGGTGTTTGCCTTGCACGCAGCCAACATGCAGGGTGTACTGAGGATAAAATTCAAGGCTTCGCACAAGCAATGCGGTATTTTTGGCCACTAAGCTGTCCACAGGTTCCATATGCCTTTTATAATTTAAAAAAAACCAGATCTTTAATAGTAAAGACAGTAAGTAAGTAAGTAAGTAAAGGCCCTCCCGTTGATCATCGATTTGCTTGAGCGGGCCCAGTAACGTCTCCATTGGAGACTTTGTTGTTACTGTGTTTGGCATATCGAATACTCTCAGTAGCTTGCTGGGCTCTCCGAGAGGGGCGGAGGAATCGAACTCGGGTTGGCCATGTTGGCCGCCTGTAAGGCGAACGCCCTGCCCACTGTGCTAATATTTAAATTAGCATAATTAGCATAATTTAGCATATTTATGCTAATATTTAAATTAGCATAAATAATATTTATATTAACATAGTGGTATAGCACCTATTTCACAAAATTGAGGCTTTTTTGAACCAAAACAAAAAGTCTGTATTTCACAATTGTCTTTAATGAACTTTAGATTTGTATGTGTGTGTGTGTGTGTGTGTGTGTGTGTAACAAGAAACGCTCTACTGAATGTTATTTAGAAAGATGCATAGGGAGAGAAAGGGAGAAGTGTGTCCCTTTCAAGAGAGAGCACAGGCTTCTCCATAGTGGAAATAAAAAAGCAAAGAAATATACAGACAAGCAAGAACACTTATCTTTAAGTGTTCAAGGCAGAACACAGGCTTGAAGAGCAAACCAATGAATTTTAGATTTCAGTCAGTTAAGAGAGAAAAACAATCGATGCAGAGCTGGAGAGATAATACAATGGGTAAGGGCTTGAGAGATTGTACAGTGGGTAAGGAAATTGCCTCGTGTGTAGCTGACCCAGGTCCCGGGTTTGATTCCTGGCATCCCATAAAGTCCCCCAATCACTGCCAGGAGTGATTTCTGAGTGCAGAGCCAGGATAACTCCTGAACATTTCCAAGTGTGGCTCCAAACCAAACAAAAACTGAAACTGGAGATTTCTGTTCTTAAGATGTTTCCAGATGTTTCCATTAATATACATTACTGGTGCCCACTCAAGCAAATGGATAAACAACGGGGGGCGGGGGGACCCCCTGTTGTTTATCCATTTGCTTGAGTGGGGCCCAGTAATGTCTCCATTGTGAAACTTGTTGTTACTGTTTTTGGCATATAGAATACGCCACAGTAGCTTGCGAGGCTCTGCGGTGCGGCCAGGATACTCTCGGTAGTTTGTTGGGGTCTCTGAGAGGGATGAAGAAATCGAACCTGGGTTGACCTCATGCAAGGCAAAAGCCCTACCTGCTGTGCTATTGCTCCAGAGATCCTCTAATAGGTTAAACATGAAGTGACAGTGTTGTTTTGCCTGATTTACATCAGACCTTTGTTGTTCAAGACATTTTCGTTAACATGCTCAATATGAAGCATTTATCCAACCAGATAATAGATACGAATCCATGCATTCAGATTTCTTTGGAGTCAGAGATCAAGATGGAAATTCCCTGAAGCATATACATTGTTAAATGGTTTTTTTTTTTCACTCATTACTTCAAATACGGGAGAAATCTGGAAACTCTTGAATAACTTAAGTATAATTAAGAGTTGAATAAAATAACAAAAGAATATTTCCTTTACTCTTATTCGTATGTAATATAATCCGATTCATAATCATTTAAATAAATTAACTTCAATGTAAAGATTGTTTGCTATGGCTACAAACCACTGTTTATTGTATAAATACATGATACCAAAAAATCTATCAGGGAAATTGGAGTGCCATACATCTTAACATACTTTATCAAACACTCAAAGTTAAGTTATTGCTACTCTATATCATATGACTCTATAAATGTCATATCTATGTATGTATACATATATATAGACAGATGTATTTCAGTTGAAATATATATGTAAACCCACCTCTAATATCTGCTGGGCTTTCATTTCTACAGAATGAGCTTGAAATTTTTTCAGTGGTTCCATTCGATATGAGTTGGCAAACTTCAGCTTTGCTAGGGCACTCTTCCATTCTTTACCTATATCAGCAATCGAGTCATCAAATGGAGGCTCCACATACTGAACATCATGAATAGATTCTCTCAGTCGTTCTTTTAAAATTTGTGCGTACTGTGAGAGAAGGAAGGAGGGGAAAAGATGGAGGGAGGGAAAAAGGGAGGAAGAGGAGAAGACGGGGAAGAAAGAGGTAGGGGATGCTTTATTAAAATTGTATAATGAAATTTTGGAATTAGTAATCCTGGTGCAGGGCCAGATAATTCACAGGGTTGGAATGTGCTTTTCATGCTTCATCACCCATACCACATGGTCCCTTGAACACTACTACTGAGAGGAGCCACCTAGCACTGCTGGTTTGCCCCATCCACTGGGAAAAAGAATCCTGGTGCAGTAGACACAAAACTTGTTAATCTATTCTTTTTTAAAAATTTTATTTTATTGTTAATCAATTCTAACAGATTTTTATGATTATGTGCTTATTCTAAATCCTAGATCCTATTATTTTGTCAAAAGAATAAACAGGAATCTGTATATCAGTATTTGAGGGCCACACCCAGAGGTACTCAGTCTATTTGCTCAGGGATCACTTCCTGGTGGGCTCAGAGGGACAATATAGGCACCAGTAATTGAACCTGGATCTGCCACATCAAAGGTTTACCTGATGTAAGATCTCTCCACACTCCTTTCTTTAAAGTACAAATTTGCATGTATATGCCTAGACTATCCATGAAGAAAAAAATCCAGTGATGGGAGTGACAGTGATAAGTGGCTAAGAGGAAGAGATTTCATGAAAACTATTATGTTCCCTGATTCTTACATGAAGATTATGAAAATATTATCCTTCATTGAACTTTTGAGGGGTTTCTGTGCCATACTCAGTGATGTTCAAGAATTACTCTTGGCTCTGCACACTGGAATCTTTCCTGGTGGTGTTTAGGGGAACTCTGAGATGGTGGGAACCAAACCTGGATCAGCCTTATGCAAGGTAGATAGATGCCCTACCTGTAGTACTGTTGCTCTGGGCTCCCTTCATTGAATTAAGGCTTTGCTTTACTTTTCATTTATGTTTGAATAAGTTAGGCAACACTTTTATAAGTTTTGCAAAGTAACAAGTTATTTTGTCACTTCACACTTTTGACTTTCAACATTCTTTTACATTCAGCACTCCTTAAGGGAGTATTTCTTTAGTGTCTAGTATGGCCCAGACAAATGCTCTAGACCACAATTATTCTAACAAGAATTGTTCTGCTTGAATTAATTCATAGTCACAAACTCTACATCCAAGTAGAAAAAAATTCAAGTAGAAAGAAGGGCTGATATATAGTAATGTATAGGGGTAAATGAAGAGGCTAATTTTAAAAGCAGTAGTTGCTAATATTGGACTGGAACGATAGCACAGCGGAGAGGGCATTTGCCTTGCACACAGCCAATCCAGGTTCGATTCCTCCGTCCCTCTCGGAGAGCCCAGTAAGCTACTGAGTGTATCCCGCCTGCAGGGCAGAGCTTGGCAAGCTACCATGGCATATTCAATATGCCAAAATCAGTAACAAGTCTCGAAATGGAGACGTTACTGGTTCCTGCTTGAGCAAATTGATGAACGGGAGGACAGTGCCATAGGTCAGACAGTGAAGTTGCTAATAACATGATAGAAATTCATTGAAACCAGTTTAGACATGACGATCCAGGGTAATCCCTCTGAAATACGTTTTTAAGCTTTAGTCTAAAGGAACAGGTAATAAAAAAACTAAGCCTTCAAAGCAGGAACTAAATGTGTCATCAGAATATAAATGCCATTAATAAATCTGAAACATTCTTGGGGAAAGAGCAGTAAGAAAATGAGGCTAGAAAGCCACGATTAGATTTGGTAAGGAGTTTGAATTTTATTCTCAGAGCTAAGGGAAGCTATTGGAAGAATTTTTAATGGATGCATACACTTTGACTTTTACCTTTAAGTGGTCATTATACTTGCTGCAAAATGTATAGAGAGAGCAGGGTCTGAATGAAGGCAGTAACTTCATACTTAAAAACACATTTTTCTCTTGTGTTTTGGACCACACCCAGAGATGCTCAGGAACCATATGGGATGCCAGGGGTCAAATTCAGGCCAGCCTACATGAAAGGCAAATGCCCTACCTACTCTCTCTGGTCTGTCATAGTATGGTTTTGGAAATGTTAACTGTAATATTATAATTTAAATGAATATATTACAGGTATATTTTGATTCTTATAGTGAATATAAAGTCACATTTAGTTGACATCAGTTACAAAATTTTTCCTGTCATAACTTTAAGACCACTGTTTTTTCTATGCTGAGATATGGAATAAATATTACCTCACCACACTCAATTTTACATCCGCAGGACTGACCTTGAAGTATCATTTGACCCCTTCACCCACCTACCTTACCATTTCATTGCCTGTGACGATACTAAAACAGTAATATTTAGAATATTGTTTGAAATCAACAAATATATTCTAACATTTTTTTTCATGTAGGACTTCCAATATATTAAATGTTTGTTTTTCCTACTGAAGAACATGTTTTTTCCTGAAGCACTTTTTTTAACCGTTTTAAATACTTTACAGCATTGTTTTAATATAGAACTGGTATCTAGACTTTTATTCTACTGTTTACATACCTAATTTTACTAAATATGTGAATCAACAGTTCTACCAAACCTTTCTCATAACCTATTGCAGTTTTAAATCTACATATTAAAACTCTAGGAACTGGAGATAGTACAGCAGGTAGGGGATTTGCCTTACAGTCGACTAAGGTTCAACCAACCAGGAATGATTTGTGTGTGACCGGGTGTGACCTCCAAACCAAATTAAAACCCTTCATAGAGCACATAAAGGGAGAATATGTACTCCCTAAATGTTATTTTCCTCATATGCTACAGAAATTTACAGAATCAGTAATACTTCTTTTGCCCTTCCATTTTCCACCTTGAGGGCTCATTCGATTGGTGAGCTGAAAAAGAGCATGTCATGTGCAGATTTTTCCTAGCTCTTCTTTTGTAATCTAACTATGTGAACATGCTATCTGTCCCACCACTGAATGTTTTAAAGGAATAGAATACTAGATTCAGCTACAAGCTGGTTTAAAGTGGTGTATCATCTGTCAATCTTTTGTCATTAGTGATTTAACTTTTACTGAGTCTTCAACGCTCAACTTGCATCACTGAAATAAACCCTACATTGACATATTATATGTAGCTGAATTTAACTTATACTTACTATAAGTTTATTAATTACTGCACATATATTCATGAGGAATATTGGGAGTACGTTGTTTCTTGTTACTACTATCAGTGTTTCAAGAAAATACTGGTCGCATGAGGTGAATTCAGCAGAGTTCTATGTAATTTCCCAAGACATTATCACAGAAATGTCAGAAGTCACTGAGACTTTCTGTTTTTAAATGGAAAAGTTTTTATGTTTGGGAAGGTAGGTTAGGAGATACCCAGCAGATCTCAGACGAGATCCTGGGCAGTGCTCAGACTATATGCAGTGTATATATTTAACCTAGGTCAGTCACACAGAAATGCCTTATCTCATGTACCATCTCCGTGGTTCTCAAATGAGGTCTTAACTTATGGGTACTAGGTTTTTTTGTTTTTTAGAAGTGGCTCCTAAACACTGCTCAAAGGAACCAGAATCACTCCCAGAGATACTCAGCCTGGTCATATTTGGTGGCTCAATGCTTGGAAGCGACCAGAGCCACACCAACTGGTGTTTGGGGCTTCCAAAGATACATTTGGTATGCTGGAGTTAAAGGATGCAGGGCCAACAATTAAATTCAGAGATCAGTACAGGAAAAGGATGCACTTCAGTCTTTTAACCATTTCTCTTACCCCAGGGATTAGTTCTAAATTAATGGTAGCCAATCCATATCAGTGTTCTAGGGTTACTGTAAGAAAATATCACAGGCCAGGTGGTTAAACAGTAATTTATTTTCTTATATGCAACTTGAGAAAATTGTGTATAAGAGTCCAAAGTGTCCCCCTTCCCCCCCCTCCCCCCCGCGATTCCATGGATGGCTTCTATTCTTGCTGCCTCTTCACACAGTCAACCTTCTGTGCTTCACTCTGGCATCTCTTTCAAATTTGTTCATGAAGACTGGAATCAGCTTGAATTAGGGCTCGCCTCCATGGCCTCATTTAAATTAATGTCTTCTTTTAAGTTCCATCACTTTACATTAGGTGTAGAGCTTCACACCTGATCTACACACTACACCATGCCCACCACCAAAAGTCTAATGACCATCTACCATCATCTAATTGAGTCCTTATCTGTTTTAATCTCTTCTCTCCTTAGTAGACACTACCTGACTCTGAGCCTAAAGTCTTTCTGTTTTGATCATTTACACTTCTCCTTCTGACATATTTCACTAAGCATGGCTTCTCAAGCTTCACCCATATTGTCACCAAGATAGATTTCTTTGGGTAGGACATCCAGTATGTCAAATATCTGCAGGAGTGAACATCCTTGTCTTAGAGGGAAAAAAAATCCTAGTTTTCTATCATTCAGTATGTCAGCTATGAACTTACTACATGGTCTTCATTACAGTCAGTCCTTCCATATTCATTAATCATAAATGATTCATCAAAATAGCTTTTTCCATGCCGGTGATTGTACTCTTCGTTTTTGTGTCTAGCTATGATTAGCCTGCATCAATTATCCTGCATTCCTAGGATGACAACTGATCATGGCATATGATTCCTTTGATGTATTCCTGGATTCCATGTTCATGCTTAAGGAACATTATTTACTTTTTGTTGCACGGGGTACTCTATGAAGTCCACTAGTTTAAATGAATTATCACTTATAAAGATGTAAAGCATATAAGTGATACTAAGCTTACAAATCCCTCCCCCGCCCCAAATAATCGTATTTCCAAAAGTAAACAAAGCATGTAAATACCATTAATGGTAGTGGGGGGGGAGGGGTGGAGAAAGAGGGATGTGTACTGAAATTTTAAACTGTAATTAGGGTATCTTCAAGTGTCTTTCAGTAGTTTAAAGATGAAGTCTCTGTGCCTTGTATTGTTCCTGGTAATCTGCTACTGTTTTATCTGTTGTTAAAATTTCCTAAGTTTACATTTAAAATAG